TATATTATTTTAAAAATAGCAACTAAGTATATATATGTATATATACTTTCATATATATTTAAGCCCCATCTGTTTTATATGATAGGATAAGATTATTTTTATTTGGGTTGCAAGATTATATTGTAGAGACCGAAATAGAACTATGTTTGTTCTCCATGACTGATAGAATTTATGTTATTTTGTGTTCGAACATTTGTCTGTCAAGACAATAATTGAGATAAACTTGATTAACTAAATTATCTACGAACCTAGATACAACCTTAAAAAATCAATTATATTAGAATCAAGAACATTCCTTCAAATCTTGTCAAAATAACACGATTTGGTCGATTACGAAGCAAATATTATTTGAAGTCCATAGTCCCGACAGAAAAATGTAACAAATGGTACGTGTTTGTTCTCATCACCCCAATTCAAAGCCAAGAAAAGCAGAAAAATGACATAAAATTGAAAAAGCCCAAACAAGACATAGTCAACCTTCTCCATCTTGTACCCTAGACATCGATGTTTGCTTCCTCCAACGCAGGCATGTCCACATCAGCATCCTTAGTGTCCTCGTCCACATCGAAAATTAGAGTTTGGTTGTTGCTGGCTGTTGTAGCGAAACCTTGGTTCCCATGCATTGTCGCGTGGCAGCAAAACTGGCCGGATTTGAGGTCCTCCTCGTCGTACAAATCATAGATCTCGCGCTTGTGGGAGTCACTGAGGATGTTGCAGACTCGGAAAGGAGAGCAAAAGAAATATCTACCTCACACAAGATTAACAAAATTTTTGGCAAAATGTTGACCAGAAGGACTTGGAATTTTGGGTGAGATACTTGGAGGGTGTCTTTCAAACAATGAACTATGCTAGGCTTTTAGGGCTAAGCGGTTATGGTGTAGTTATCGTGCACAAGAAGGGTATATTAGGGGAAAAAAATTATAGGATGATTTCTGTAGGGAGTTGTCATGTACCCGGTGATGGCGTGGGTCGAGTTTATAATCTAGATACTTTATGTTTTGGTATTGGGTCTTTTATGTTGGACTCATTTTATTATGTTCAGTTTTGGGCCTCTATGAGTTAAATAGCCCATTATGTGAATCAAGTGGTGAGTACTGAGTAGTGTTAGTGGCATATGAATGTTATAAAAGACATGCAGGAGAAGTAATTTGGATTATGGAATGAATCAACAAATTTCCCTATCTCTCTTGTTTCTCTCTTCTCCCAAACTCTCTCTCTCTCTCTCTCTCTCTCTCTCTCTCTCTCTCTCT